TCTATGCCTGCCTCTCTGCCTACTTGTGATCTGTCAGATAAATAAATAAATTTTTAAAAATCTTAGAAAAGAGAAAAGAAAAAAGAAGAGAGAACTGGATTTTTTTTTTTTTTTTAAAACGTCTTTCCTTAAAAACTATGAAGGCCTGGAAAAAGGTCTGCCCAGGGCCACAGGTGGCTGCAGTGAGGAGAGCTGAGGGGGTGTTTTCCATAGGGTCTGCTCTCCCCAGCCATCTCTGTCCACACCCAGCCTCTGCATTTCCCACCTAGACCCTGCCTGCATTTGGGTTTATGACAACGCTTACAGAGAGCTGAGGCCTGTCCAGGACACCCATTAAAAGGTCGGGCCAAGGCCTCCCTAGGTGTCCCCATCCTCAAGAACTCACTCTGGGGCAGAGCCCGAGCCCTCCGCTAGCTGAGCTGACTTCAGCACTGATGATTGTTGTTCAAAACCCTCGGGGTTCTGTAGCCCCAAAATGGGCTAATCTGAATACCCAAGGGGCAGCCCTCAGCCACCTGCGCACGTATCAGGACCCCTTGGCCAGAGCCCGGCCTCCCTGTGTCCTGAATACGTCAAACCCAGGGTGGGCCTCAGGCCTGGCAATCCTCGTGTTCCAGGAAATCTGGAGAGCAGTGTGGATTTGGTACACGTGGACTGAGTTTGCCTAAAGCCAGGTGCAACAGATTCTAATGGTTACAAACTGCAGGGGTGAGAGGCTCTCCATCAGTGCCCCCAGATGCCTGCTGACCTCTCCGGCTACCAGGAGCTGCTCTAGGTGCTGTGGGAGCAGCGGGACAGACAAGACAGACTCAGTCCCTGCCATGGCCTCCAGCGGCTCTAGGAGCAGCCCCCATGCTGCCCACAGCAGCCCGGGGTAGGCACAAACATGCCTTGGGCCTTGGTCTAAGTTTATAAACTTATAAAATAAAGGTTGCTTTGATGGCAAAAGTTTCTGCTAGACCTGGGGTTCTAGAATCACCAAGAATTTTTACTCTGGATCTTGGTCTGCCTGTTCCTGGACAGAACCAGTAGGGTATGGGAGGTACAGGCGCCTCCCAGAGGCCCACAAGGCCTCAGCAACACCCCCCTTCCAGCCTTCTACCTGCAATTCTGCCCACGCCCACAGCTGGGGGGCACAGGAAACTCCAGATGAGCAGCCGGGAGGCACTACCATGAATCACAATGTTGTCCCTGAGGGCAGGGCCCCAAGGGCAGCTAGCTCCCTTTCCTGCATCCACAGAGCCTACAGTCCGTAACTCCCAGCTTTAGACAAGTCACCAGGACATCCCTCTAGCAGAAAATAAAGGCACAACGAACAAGAGTGGGTTCATGTCACTTACAGAATTTTGGGCACCTAGGAGCATCCCGACACCTGGGAAGGTGAGCTTCTCAAGACACAGCTCTGGTCACAAGCAACACAGACATAAAACAAAGCCAGCACTCCTCACCATGGCCTACAAAGTCATGTCCAATGCAAGCCCTCTAACCCCATACCCTCTCCCCAGAGCTCATGGTTCTCTAGCCTCACCAGCCTATAATCTGACTCTCAGATATGCCAAATTCTCCCCCACCACAGGGCCTTTGCACTTGCCATTCCCTCTGTGGGGAATGCTCTTCCTTCAGCCCATCACCTGGCCGGTTCCTCCATGTCCTTCAGCCCTCTCACTTCCAAGGTGCCCCTCTCAAGTAGAGCTCTCCCGCTCCCTCTTTCCCACCCCAGACCTTCTTCATGGCACTTTATCATTATCTGACTTCTGCTTATCCACTGCTGCCTTGTTCATGGCTCCTAGCTACACAATAGAAGCTCTTTAAGGAGCTTGGCTAAGGTCGTAACCTGGCTGCTTCATGGCCAAGGGATCAGGCTCCAAGATCAGGAAGAAGCCTGCTCAAACCTTGGCTTTACCATCCATCAGCTGTGTGACATGAGGGAGGCCACTTAACTTCTCTGACCTCAGCTTCCACACCTAGAAAATGGGACGAATATCAGCAGCTACCTGCTAGGCACAGGGTGACAATGAAGATAATCCCAAGACACTCTGGGGCCAGAACCAGCCCCACCCCTCCTGTTCTCCAGAGTCAGAATTATCTCTGATTTTCATTTTCTCTTGGGCGACGCAGCTGTCATGAGACCTCACCTTCCTACCTCATTCAGCTGCTACAGAGGCGTTGGCGGGGATCTTGATCTTTACCTCCATGAGCCTGGAGATCTCCTGGTGAAGATCAAATACGACGCAAAGCCCCACACACATATGCAGGGCTTATCATCATTATCACACAGAAATTACAATTATTCACTCCCTCCTCTGTGCTCCCAGAGTGCCGCTACCACAGCATTTAACTGAAGTAATTACTGCTGCGGGAGGGCTGTTGACTCACACGGCTGTGCCAGGACAACGAGGCCGCTTCGGGACAGCCCAAGCCACTGGAGGAGGGCCAGCGCCCTAGTCCTGGGCCCTGCCCCCGCCGCCTGGCAAGGCAAGGGCCGGGGCCTGCCGCATATGTCAGAGGTAGGGTAAGGTCCTGTGGCCTCTGCGATCCACTGTCCTCCACACGCCCTGGGGTCTTTCTGTAGGATGACGCCGAGGAGGGCTGGGTGGCCCCAGCTCCTGGCTCTGCCTCCGATCCTCCCTGGGGCTTCTCGGGAAACCCATGCTGTGGTGGGCTAGTAAATCGTTCTCCGATGTGTGTGACAGGTTCGGTTACTGACGGGTCACTTAAGGTTTCTGTGCAATGGCGCTTGGTGGGGACTGTCGGGTTGTCCCAAAGCTGCCCTTGTACAGCATTTCACAGAACATTTTGAAGGTCAAGGGTCCATTTAGAAAGATGGGGAGGGCATCGGTGGAGAGGACAGAAGCAAGGGTCCCGACAGGTCCCTTCAGGAGTCCAGAAGTGGCCCAGCCAACACGTCACAGCTCCAGGCTACTCCGAGAGAGAGTCCAACTCCAGGGCCCAAGGGTCCCAGGTGCTGAGGTGGGAAGTCAGGACAGAGGAGCTGGTCTGGAAGACCTGTCACCCTTCCTGGTCTCCAGGGCCCAGAATTTGCTCTTGAATATAAGGTGGAAAATCCTACTTCCGGTGCACAGGACCTTGAAGTCATTCCAAGATTTACCTTTTCCATGAGAGAAGAGGTCCCTGCCTTCTCACGGCCAATCCCAAGAACATCGTAACATTGTTCCTTATCTTCTAAGAGGCACAGAGCACACCCAGATGATTAGTTCTTTTAAAATACAGGCTTCCCAGGCAGAAAGCCTGGTGAGGCTGGTGTGTGGCCTACTCTCCAGAGCCTGAGAAACCACCCGAAGAAGGTCTGGGTCCATTCACACGAGAAATCAAGTCAATCCAGCGCCTCCCCCTCAGTCCCCCCTACCTGGTCAGACACGGTGGCTCAGGACTCTCTCTACTTCCCTGTCCAAGGCGGGTCAAGGGAAATGGCCAGCACCTTGCAGTGCTTCCTCTCCCACTCAAGAAGTACAGAGCATGGAAAGTTCCAGAAGAAGCTGGTGCACAGGCTCACCCCCCCCACACACACCCCGGGGAAAGCCAGCCTCGCCCGTCTGCCTGACCTGAGGCCCTTGGCAGTGATGCTCCACGGGGCTCGCAGAAACTGTGAGCATCCACGCGGCAGAATTCCTACCATCAATGTAGCAGCTAAATATTGTAAGACTCCTAACTCCCCCATCTGTGTTTTGCCTCCCAAGAGGGAAAATAGTCTTCACAGACATTCCCTTATCTGGCAGGCAAATTCTAAACCTTACTGGCAATCACAGGCTTGTTTTCCCAACCAAACAGCTATGGAACCAAAAATTGCTCTGCCTGTGATATGCTGAGGAGGGAACTAGCCAAACAGCTCAGTCTGGAAGCCCAGGGCCGGGAAGCCCTTGGGCTTCTCCATCTCTGCAGAAGGCCCCGTGCTCCGCAGACGTCCCCGCTGCCAGGGGAGGCCTGCCTGGCCGCTGAAGGAAGCCACAACGGCTGGTGTTCACTGCTCCTCGTTCTTCACACGGAACACACCCACCAAGAAGCTGACGGAAAACACTCACCACGGTGTGAAATCAACACTTTCTAACTCAAATAAAGGGGGCTAAAAAAGGGGGGGGGGGGGGAACTTCCAACCATTTTGCTGCAAATATTTTCTCCTACAAGATCATGCAAGGCAGGGGCACCACGGCGGCCTTGGGCCCTGCCACCGAGCATGCCTTGGCACCCCGCACCCTCACTTTCCAGTTTATGGTCTTTCCCTGCGTTCCACCTGGCCCTTCCCAGCCGTAATGCCGGAACCCCGTACCTGGGCGATGGCTAATAAACCGAATCTGATGATAACTGTAGGAGCCTAATTGATAGGGGCCTTTATCGACTGGCCTTGATGTCTATCTGAGGTTCTCAACAGCCAAGATTTAAATGTTTCATTTTATTTTTAACTTTCACTTTTCCACATTTCAGCAATGTCAGGCAAAGAGGTATGGTTTTACTATCAGAAAGAATCATGGTGCAGAATAATTTATGACTTTAGCTTGGGCTTTCAGAAAAGCTATTTCAAATCTTCACTTTGATTTGGTTGTATCAAAACTACTCAAAATAACAGCGGGCCCTTTCTCGGAACCAGAATATGTTAGCGGCACCTCAGGATTGTGAACTGAAACCTCAGATTCATCCCAGAAGAAAACTTGAGAAGGGAATTAAGCCACCGAGGGGAAAATCACCTTTTTTCCCTGATTCCTTTGTTCCCCCTCCCCACCCATCCCCAGACACGCCCAAACCACAAAGGAAGGTCTCCCCACAACCCCCTGGGGAAAAGTCCCACCAGCCACCACTCCCCCAGAGCTTCCCAGCAGGTGGACTGATCCTACCTCCAGGGTGGCTGGGAGAGGCTGGGAGGAATCCCCGGGCCAAGAGGAGAAAGCGAAGGGCCCTTTGGTTGGGATTTGTGTTAGGTCAACTCGACAAAGCAGGAGGAAATGATGTGTGTCCAGGGCAAAGAGTTCTAATATCGTAAGACTTACCTTAGCAGCTTAACTGCATACTTGTCTTAAGGACTGTCAGTCTGGTAACAAAATACCCCAGAAAGGATGTAGCTGATCCAGGCACTGACAGATCGCCAGAGGGGCGTCCCGGTTCCCTATCACAAAAGGAAATAGAGAAAGAAATGATGTAAAGTGAAATGTAACAAATTCACCAAATCAGAGCAATATGCAGAGGTCAAGGAAATTCAACTGAAAAGGTTAAAGATGAAATCAAATCCGGTGTAGGAGAATGAAAATCTATCCCAAAGCAAGGCCACCGGTGACGTGCTGTAGACAAGAAGCTAAATACTGCGTAGCACTGGGATCTTTCATTTTCATCAGATCAATAAAAGCTTATATTTATCAGGATTCCAAGCAGCTGCCGCTTCTGACAACCTCCACTTTATTTTCCCACTCCTTGTGCTGTATCAGGGCAGGGAGGAGAGGAGAAGCAGCTTTTAATGCTATTTACACCTGAAGACACAATTCCATTAAGAGGTTCTGTTTTGTTAAAGAAACAGGGATTGATATGATTATATTGGCAGGAGCGCGGGAAGCCCCTTTGTTCCTCCCCCCCATGTTCTCCCCTTTGCAGTCCAGACCGGAGCCCGAGCCCGAGCCCGCGCGCAGAGATTTCCTGACACCAAGTCTGTGTGAGAGCACTTTTTTGTTCAAACTTACCATTTACAAAGAGAGGCGAGGCTTTCTGCTAAAACAGTTACCACTCTAATCATCTGTACAACAATATTTGCTATCAGGCATTCTAAATAGATTATCACCAGTCCATCTGTGTCATTATTGATTTATAAGGCTTTAAGCAGCTTTAGAATGGAAGCTTTCCCGCTGAAGGGTTTCTTGTATAAATCAGAGCCGCGCTCAAATATAGCAGCCATCACTCAAGATATTGTTCTTAAAATCATAACAAGAAGGAGAAAATGATAAATTGCTTGTAATATACTGATCCAAACTGATATGCAAATCTTGTTTTTTAAATATATGACTTGAGTAAAAAGAGGCGTCATTAACATATGAATGCTATATGCAAATGGTAGTGACAGAGCAGATGTTGGCGCATGTAATTGACCTATATGTGAATTGCATCAGAGCCTTAACTCTATTAATTCACTACCCAGTAACTAGATATTGTCCAAAAAGTACATTCTTTGAAACCATATACTGGAAGCAAAGCTGACAGGGTTCCAAGGATTCTGAAACAAGGTCACCGTCACTAGTATTTTGCTGTCATCCGCATTCCCCTTCTTATGGATGACATCATCACGGGGCCGTGTAAATCGATCACTTAATAGCATTTAGAAAATACTGCAGTGGGGAACAGGTTATAAAAAAAAAAAAAATGCCCCAGTTTTATTCTTTTTCTTGGCAGAAATGTCATACCTCTTAAACTGAGGGTTTGTGCATGAGTGCACTGTGAAACACACAGATGCCATTTTATTCCCCGTCTTTATTTTTCCACTTCTTCTCAGAATGACATTAAATTGTATTAAATAGCCTTTTGTCCACAGGGCACAGACCACCCCGCATATGATAATGTATTAATGCCCCACGTTCCAGCCACTGAGCTGAAACATTCTGAGACTTGGAGGATAAGTATGAAGCACCATTGTGTGTATAGCCTGCTAACAACTGTGACACATACTAATAGAAACATACCTAATAAATTACTGCTTTCAGGTCTAGCAAGCTGACATTTCTCTGCAAGGGACAATTTTATATTTGTGGCGCAGAACAAAATTGCTTCATATGAAGCCACTGTGGATTAGCATAAAAATTAACACTTAAATTTCGGCTTATTTTCCACCCTCTCCTCCTGCCACAACAATCAATTCCTCTTATAAATCTGATTAGATTTTATGATGCTTATTATTCAGAGCATGTCTCAACACAGCATTCACAGGCTTGAAGACTATTTGTTTAAATAGAAAAAAGAAGCAGATAAATCTATAGGTATTTTTTATTACCCCATTCCCCACCAGTTTCTTTCTCATATTGTAACATCAGTAATTGATTGCACACATTAATTAACATGTAAGGTAGAAATTCTGCATTATGCATGATTTATTTTCCTATCTGGTGAGTAGGTTTGTCTGCTGCCCTTGTGTTTCTAGGACATTGGGCTCGATTCTGGTCCAGACATAAATGCCAATGCTCATTCCCCCTGAAAGTTATTAATGTCAGATATGAAATGAGATTTTTTATTTCACCTGCTTACTAATCCACAAAAGCTGTTTTGAGTGATGCAGGCTTAAACACCAAAATTTGAAATGATATATTGCTACATCTGATAACATGCAAATATGTTCATTAGACATAATTTAGCAGGAGAGAATAGCAACACTTTTATAACAAGTCTAGGTCAAAAATGGTTGTTAATTAAACAAGTCATGAAAAATGGCATTACAAGGAGACTGTCCAGCAGACACCAGACTTTCTAATGATATGCCGCTGGTAGGTACCCAATGCTTCCCACTAAAACGGAGAAGGGGAAAAAAAAAAAAAACTTTCTGAGCATTTCACATAATCTAAAGCAAGGTTAACAAAACTATACCCACATTAGGAACCTCAAATTGATCACATATTCTTCTTAGATTTTAATGGTAACACACTCTACTTCTCCATTTGAAGATGTGATTTCACTTTCTGTCTTAGTGGCTTAAAGTGATTGATATGGTTGACTCCTTCACGAATACACCAGAAAAGAAATTAATATTATATTCGGCCATGCTTCTAGCTGCCCTGAGTGTTCATGGCTGTGTATGTTAAATCCAGAAGAGCGATAAGCATAGGGACGATTGGTCGGTGAGAGCAGGGTTGGGGAAGGAGGTGGATGGAGGATGAAGGCAAGGCACAGGGGAACTGCGGGCCTGTGTCTCCCTTTTCCGGTAGTCCTTCCCAAGGGGACGCTTCGGTTACCTAGGGAACCAGCTGTAGCAAGAACTCTTTTGATTGGCCAAGAGTTGAGATTCAGATGGGTGGGGCTCTGGTAAGTAGGTACTCCAGGCCACCTTGTGGTGAGCGGCTTGGCTTCTTGGAATGAGGCTTCCTGAGTACCTAGGGGAAGGATGGTACCTTGGGAGTGAAGTACCGTCTAACGGAAGGCGAGGGGAGTTTCCAACTAGCCACCCATGCCTCCTTCTGTGCCGCGAGGGAAGTAGTCATAGAGTGGCAAGGGCTGAAAACATCTGGGACCAACAGATGACCCTCAACGGATGCTACCCAAGCCCACATGGGTGAAGCCATCCATGAGTTGGTGTTCCACTTATCCAAAGGATCCTTGTAGCTGGACACTTGAAGCCCAGTCTGTAAAGCAGGGAAAACCCCTCTACACGTCAGGAGTCATGCACAGTAAGGGAAGTTGAGTGGGAGAGAGAATAACAAATTCAGCAAACCGAAAGTAGTCCACATCTAAGCCATGGGAACAATCAATCTGTATTCATGACACCAACTCAGGCACAAAAGTTATGCCTAATCCTCACCCATTTGGTGGGGGCAGGTCTGTCCCAAATACTTCATGTCCAAGTGTAAAATACTCTCGCTCTCATCCTGGCTTGCAGACAACATGACTACTACTGTTAGAAATCTCACCTCATCTCTGCATTGCATTTTATGGTTTCTGTGCTTCTCAATACAGAATCTCAACTAGTGAACCAGGCACCATGGCATTCATCTCCCCCATCTTTCATTGATAATGTGATATTCTACAAAAGAAAATAGATGGAAACTTGGTGGAGGAAGAAAAGGAAATGCTCATTCTACAGGACACTTTGGTATCTTTTTTATCCCATGGAGCCCTTCCTTACATCCACTACCCACTCTGCATATGCCCCTCGTGAGTTTATCTGGACAGACAGCCCCTCCTGTCCTCCCTGTCACACTGTAGTTCTGGTTCCTGGACATGACTGTCTGTTGCTTCCCCATGAGGGATTCTGACAGGTCTCACATTCTAGGAGGAGGCCAAGGATGGGTCAGGGTCACAAGACTTGTTGAGGAAGTCCTGGGGGGACCCTATACATTCTCAGGCAGTAGGGAAGCCCTGGGAAGGAAGATCTCAAAGACCCCAGCACAAAAATGGCATTTGGATACCCTAGTCACGGTCGACAGGTTTAATGGTGTGCCTCACGGGCCAATGATTCCTTCTTGGGGGCCCCTGGTACTATGTACCCGACTTCACGTGCCTCCATATCCGATGATGAGGGAGATAGCCAGGGTCAACCCGGGGTCACGGTTAAACTATCCCACATTTCCCCAAAGCCTTGAATTCCTTTCAAAGTGTTTCATCTGTTGAATGAATGAACTAACGCATCCATGAACAGATAGGAGAAGAAGTGAATGAATGCGGAAAGGCACGTATAAATGGATGGATGGAGAGATAAGGACTGAAAGAGTTTTTTAAAAGCAATAAATGCATGAATTAATGTGCAAATGCAAAAATGCATACGTAGAGGAAAAGTGCTTCAGGAATGGATGAAAGAAAACCACTGGTATCTTTTTCACAAGCAGGTATCCACACAGTTCTCCTGCAGGCCCGCCCAGGGGGCTGATGGACAACATAAGAGAAGAAAGAGTAAGCAATGTCTTGTTCTTTGTCATGGGGTTTGGTCGCCCATCCTTGGCTTCCTTCCCACCTCTTAAGATAAGCGTGTGGGCCAGCCAGTAGGATTCTGCACAAACTCTCCCAGGCTCATGAAGGAGATGAATATTCCCGCCCCCTGGCTGAACCTGGAGGATGACAGAGGTCGGTGAGCTGGGTCTGACCATGAGACATCTGGCCCGGTGCAATCCTGCACCTGCTGGACACTGACAGAATCTTCCCGGGAGACAGGAGCCACAGCCGTCAGGGGCACACACCCTCGCCCAGTGCCCAGTACATGCCGGCACTGAAAGGACGAGCCACACATCACCCGCGCCTCGATGTATCCACCTAACGAATGGGGACAACACATCCAAAAGAGTGTCTGGCGCCAATGACTGCTCAACAACCAGCCATCATCGTCCGAACTGCTGAGCAGTTCTGCCCTG